GGCGGAGATAAGGTGGTGGCGGTGGAGGTGGATGCATATTTTGCGCATCGCAGGTTTGGTGAGGCCATGTGGAATAGGTGTGGGAAGGAGGGTTTGAGTGAGTATAGTATGGAATTGGGGGGGAAATATGTAATAAGAAAAAATAGGCCGTTGAATTCCAGTTTTCATGGTGATATCATGAAATTCGTATCCGAGGACAATTGATATTATTGCTGTTATTGTCCTCTTCCATTTATTCTCATTGTAGTTTTCTTGTCAATTGGGGTTTAAGATTTATCTGTTGACTATTGCAATTCTTGTTTAGAATATATTTGAATCAATCTGAATATAGACCTTAAATTTCAAATTTTTATTATTTATTTCAGTCCATTGATTTGATGTTTTTTTTTTTTTTAAATGATCTTCTGCTTCATCAGGGAAGAAAAAAAAAAAGGAAGCAGCACAAGAACTGACAGGTTTCAGTAGCTGAAGGAGACTGGAGTTCAAGTCTTATTCGGCTCCTTTCAACTTGGCATGATACCTTGATCGGTCGTCAAATCGAAGCTCATTTCTTTTGGTAATCTTCTCAACCTATGATGTTCTATCGGAGAAGGATTTTAGAATCAGTTAACATCAAGCTATATGTAAGTTAATATCGTCAGATAAGTTTATATAATCTACATTAGCACATACCTCTCAGAGTTAAATCTTAAGTTCTTCCCAGAATTGTACCTACTAATCCAATCAAATAATTGCTCTAAGAAGTGAACTTACCAGAATTTTGATAATGCTTTGGTGATGACCATTAGGAACTCCAAATGTGAAAGCGTTTGGCTGATGGGAATGTGAATTTATTTTTGAGATTGCTCTGTCAGTACTAGGAATTGGATTCTGAAGCAGGGAAAATTCTGGAGTAATCTTCACAAGACCAACTCTAGGAGGTTGGCACTTCGACCAAATAATAACAGAACCACGAAATGTGAAGTTCATGGTTATAATTGAAGTAGGAGATTTGGGCAGGGCATGCTTTTGTCATAATATATATTTTGGTGAGAGGCTTCAAAGAAAGCTGTAGGAGATGTTTAGCTATGCTACATTATGATGAAAGGATGTGATACTGGGCTCACTTCGAAACTGGTGGAAGAACGTACGTAGAGTCATGATATCTCGTCGACAGAACTATGAAGTCGAATTCTTGTGCAATGTTTTATTTAAGGCAGGTTCTGTGAAATTCTAGTTATGGACCATGCTACACTTACCGAATTTTTTTACCTGATCTTTTACCTACTACTCACAAAAGGAGGTGGGGACCACGGGTCGGCATTATTTTATACATGTGGGTTCGGCGCCTTATGTGAGAGGGGGGACACCATTCGGTAGCCCCCTCTCGGTACATATGCCTTTTCCCTCTAGTTATACTCAAAAACTCTAGTAGTGAAGTGCATCTACCGCTGTTGTTTGCATTTCACTTATGGTGAAGTCTGGTCTTGTGTATTGGCAGATTTGACAATAATAGCATTCAACCCTTGAATATGTTTCGACTGCCTAACGCACCTACCGTCATGACTATGGCATGTTGCTAAACCAAAGATTAACGATGGATATGTTTCTAGAGATCTGAGGTAGTACTCTCATCTAAGTGAAGACCTCAAAGAAAACGACAGCTCTGACTAACTCACACCTAAAATACCTTTCCGTTAAATATCCACATCTAATATAATTGTTTTACATAAAAGGATACTTTCACTTGTCGGAGGGGATTTAGAGACTTCGCTATCACTTTTTTGGCAAGCATAGATATGAAAGCATTCCAAACGAGACCAACAGAGGTGCCTAAGCACCTGTTTCGGGCTTGATGTTTATTTTCAAGTAACATGTAATTGCATGCACGGACATGCATGATTATTAGAATCAGATTGCTGAATGTGTGGAACTTAGTCCCAACTTGATTTGGATTAAAATCCAATTAAAATCTTAAGTTAAAATTAACAATTAATTTTAACCACACATTTTAGTGAGACTCACAACTTTCAAACATACATTTCATCAACTTTTATCAAAATTTACTAAAAATTTAATTTTAATCTCTGCCAAACAAGGATTTAATGTATTGTACACTATTTTTCTTGATAATGATTGAATATTTTAATCGTTATAGGAGTACTTTGGGAAATGGACAATGCAATTTGTACAATGAATTTTGACAATGTTTAATGTTTCAAAAAGAGTTGATTGGAAAGATAAATTATTTTTAAACTGCCTAATGATAACATGCCACATGGTATGTTGTCAACATTGTTGTAAAAATGATTGTACACCTGCCACGTGGCATGTTGTCAACATTGTTGTAAAAACGATTGTACACCAAGCACGATTGTTGGGAAATTACACATGTATTAAGTTGCATAATAGTTTGTTCCCATATAAAGAGTATTAGAGTGATTCTCTATTTTGTATCATAGTCGAAAGAAAATATAAAAAGACACGAGTACAAAATACATTGTAATTCTTTTATTCGATATTGTGCAATTCGACGACGACACTTGTTGCAATAACTCTCGTATTGATGGTGAAACATATTATGTCACTATTCTTGCTTTTTTGTGTGTGTTATTAATCGCTCTTGGTAATATGAATTATTCGTTTAAATAGTAACACATACTAGATTGTCATAAATTGTCAACTCGCTCAGCCCTATGCCAATTTCAGTTGCTTAATTGGAATGGTTTTAGTGTAATCGGTCGAAAATTGACCTCAATTTGGTTGCCCAAATCTAAGATGAATCAAATTTAAAAAATCCTAGAGTACATTGTGGGCTTTCGAACATTTCTGGTGCATTCCAATGACAATCATCTAGGTGGTATGCAAGTCGAAAAACTTACTGTCTACATGATATTAATGTCTAACTAAGACACTAAAATACAAAATTGGTCTCCAATTATTCTATCTATTGTCTTTATTTTGTAGACTAAAAATAAAATCACATCATATTATGCACATTGCCTAGTTACTTTGTATAATTGAGCTTTTATATCTAGATTTTTTATTTTTTATTTTTTAATTTAATTTAATTTAATTTTTTTAATTTTG